GGTCTGTTTCCCCCAGCAGCGTGGACAGCAACGTCCACGTCCCTCCCCACCTCCTCCCAGACACAGAGAAGGGGCCGTCTGTCGCTCAGTGTCTCCTCGAGGCCTCAGCTTTCTGATTCCTCACAGCTCCCTGTGCTCTGCTCCCAAATGGTGCTTACTTAAACAGCACTTTTTTTGCCTTCTGCCATCTCTATGTATTGTCTTTAGCATTCGATATTTTTCTTTAAATTGATGTTTTTTTCTTTAATACATTGATAAGGGAAAAATGTACACGCACATATTTTGTACCATATATACATGTGTATACCCGCACACCATGAAAGAAAACCAGGTAACTCAAAAAAAATAGCAGCAAAGGAAGCAAAACAATTATATTCTGAGCCTGAGGCCTTCTCTGAGAAGTCTGAGGTCTGAGGCTTTCTCTTTGTTAAAAAGGTAGATGAGCAAGCATTTGGTGTTAAACGACGTAACAGGAACAAAATCAGACTTTTTTGAGAAATCAAGAAAGGTTACAAAAAGAATATTCCTGTGTGATTGAATGTTGTTTAATGTTAAATGACCAAATGCCAAAACCAAACCCACTGCCATCTAGTTGATTCTGACTCATAGTGACCTCATGATGTTAGATAGCATCTAAAATTATCCAGGAGCACCTCCCCCCACCAAATGTGTCCCACACCTGGGAGATGCACATTAGTAGGTGGCGTGTCTTGGAAGGGCCTGTGTCATAGATATCTCCACATCTCCCCACAGTGCTGTGCACATCATTTGCATTTGACTCTTGGTTGTATGGGTGGGTGACCATGCCACCGCTTTTGCAGACCTCCTGACAGTGAGTGAGACAGCCAACGAGCCCCCTCAGGATGAAGGCAATTCTTTCAACTCACCTCGCAACCTGGCTATGGAAGCAACCTATATCAACCACAATTTCTCTCAGCAGTGCTTGAGAATGGTGAGGGATCCAAGGGTCTTGGGATTGAGTCATTTCTGGTTGGTCAGCTACCATTGAGTCTCTGATTTGCGCCAAGCTCTGTGGTTCATTATAGTGTCAGGGGAAAGACAGCCATCACCAGATAAACGTGTTATGTCAAATGGTGATCTGTTCTGGGGAGAAAAGGAAGCGGGGAAGGGGCATTCAGTGAATGCCAGCTGTTGTGTCTGTTGTAATGCGTGGGGCACTTATAGTCAGAAGGGGTAGACAGAGGTGCTGGGTCTGGTTGATCGGCCTTGGTGACAAGATTAGTAGGACTGTCCTGTGACACTGCTGGTATTTTTTGCAGGGGAAGGAACGATACAACTTCCCCAACCCGAACCCGTTTGTGGAGGATGACATGGATAAGAATGAAATTGCCTCCGTTGCATACCGGTATGTCACCTCTGGCGGGGAGCACCCCAGTGTGGTGGCCAGATGGGGGCACAGGCCCTGTCCTGTTGGGGTGGCATGTCTGAGATGTAGGAGCTCAGGAGACCACATGAGTCTCTTGCTCGCAGTTACCGCAGGTGGAAGCTTGGCGACGACATTGACCTGATTGTCCGCTGCGAGCATGATGGTGTCATGACTGGAGCCAACGGGGAGGTGTCCTTCCTCAACATCAAGACCCTCAACGAATGGGATTCCAGGGTGAGGCGCAGCCCTGCCACCCTCCTCATCACACCCGTACCTGTTCCTACAGCACATACTGTCACTCAGTCTAGCTTTTGTGAGCAATTTGTTTTCCCCTATTTCCTTACTTACAGAGCTATCTAGAATTTTGGGGGGGGGGCGGAGGGGGTCTTGAGTTTTTTCCTTCACCCAGTTCCTCAGTCTGTGTGTGTGGGTGTAGAATGTCGATAAAGCCTTAAGAACTTTTCTGCTTATTTTGCACATGGGAGCCAGTAACTACCTTCTTCCAGTACTTTCTCCCTCGTTCCATTCTGATCTGTTGGTTTCTGCTCTGTGGTCTCTGACTTTGATCTCTCCTTATTATCTGGGTTGGCAGGTTTCCTGTAAGCCTGGCAGCTCTTCTTTTTGACCTGTGCTTTCATTTTTGCAGCTGCTGCCTTCTCTTCAACCTTGGGATTCCTTCTTCACTTACTGAACTCAAAGATTCTCAGATCTAGCATAGAGTTGGCCCTTAAGAGGCACCTCAAAGGAAAGGTGCTTCCTCCGTTTTTCCTCATCTTTCCATCCTCTCTCATCTGGTGCTCCATGATTTTTGGGCTGTTACTCTCTCTGAGGCTGCCCAGGCTCATGGGCTGTGTCGGAGTTTGAAGTGGCTGGCAGTTCTCCTGGGTGCTGTGGTTCAGACACATAGCAGCTGGCAGAGCTCAGTGGGGAAGGACAGCGCTGAGGCCCAGCTCTTGTTGAGCGAGCCTGTGATAAGATACAGTGCCAGAGGACCTGCCTGTCTTCCATTTTCATTACTCATTTCCGGCTGCTGCTGACTCTCACCCCCAGGTGCTCCTTTGCCTCCATCAGCTGCTGAAAGAGCATGCTGGAAAGTTTGCTGTGACTTTGGTATTGTTGCATCTATATAGCTATGCCCTCAGTGTTAACTACATGACTCCAGCCTCACACATCTTCTGCTCCTTCACGCTTTCTTTGCTGACTCTCCTCCTCTTTGACCCCCCAGTGGAGCCTTCTCTTGCCGTAGTTACACCTTTATATAGCCCTGTATTCATTTTCTTCTGCTCAGTAACGACAAAGTTAGCGGCTTAAAACAATGTCTGTTTACTGCTCGTAGTTCTGTAGGTCAGGAGTCCCACATGGCATGGCTGGGTTCTCAGAGTATCACACAGCTGAAATCAAGCTGTTGATAGAATTGAGTTCTCATCTGGAGACTCTGGGGGGAAATTCATTTCCAAGCCCATTCAAGTTGTTGCAAAATTCAGTTCCCTGTAGTTACAGGACAGAAGTCCCTGTTCTCATGCCACTTGTCAGCCTCTCAGCTCCTAGAAGCCACCCGCATTCCTTTCCACATGGCCTCCTCCTTGAGCAACAGCACATCAGATCCTTCTCGTGCTTCATGTCTCTGACTTCCTTTCTGATCTCTACACCCAAATTTAAGAGCCTCATGATTAGATCAGGCCCACCCAGATAGTCTCCGTATCTTAACGTAACTGACTGGAAACTTGATTACATCTGCAGAGTCCTTTCTGCCATATAAAGTAGCATAATCATGGGGGTGATATTTCATCATAATTACACATTCCGTCCCTCCTCAAGGGGAGGAGACTCTGCAAGGATGAGGCTTTTAGAATTCTGCCTACCCCAAGCCTCAGCCATGAGCACCATAAAAATGACCTCTAAAAGCTTCTACTCTGGCTTGTCTCCCACTTTTTTTTCTGCTAAAACATCTTCCCCTCCCAACATCCTCATTTCTCTTGTTGCCTCTGGCTTGACCATCCATCAGCTTCATCTTTCTCCCGCTCACAGCCTTGGATGTCTCCGACTCTCCTCCCTCTCTGCTGCCAGGTATAGTCTGTCGTCTGGCTGTGTCTTGGCCTTCACTGACAGCATCGTCACCCTCATTCAAGACCCTGTTCATTACACCTGTGTGCATTTGTTTCCTAACAGACTTCTGTAACTCC